AAGCGCTGTTAGTCAAAGAGGTCAGGTTCCTTGCATTAGCGAGGAAGTTCTCAAAAATCGAGTTCATTTTCTAGTCCAAATTTGCGCCTTACCTCAACCTTCAAATCTGATGCTAGTCGGTGACTACGACGCGCACAGGACACACATTCCCAATCCTTCTGCTGGAGATAATCGCATTCCCTATGCGTAAGAAGTTATGTTTAGCAAGTTTGGAGTTTTGTTTATGTGAAACTGAGGTGATACGAGTCCTGTATGAGCATCTCGACTAAAATGTCTTTTCCAGTTTGGTTTCCAAAGATTTTTTTGCAACTTTGTATCGTTATTCAAGCTTGAAAGCTAAAAGATCAAGAAGTTGAACGGAGGATTTGGTCAGTCAATCTCCATACTGCTCGTTCACTATCTCAGAGAGCAGAGTGCGCAAACCTAACCACACTCCTTCATACCACTCTGCTGCAATTCAAAATAAATTTCCCTGAAAAATGCATAGCTGGGAAATTGGGATTTTTGTGCACATACATCAGCTCCGCGAAAATTGAGTACTTCGCAGTTAAAACTTGCCTAGGACAATGCCTTCAACTACAATCAACTCTGCTCACGATATTTGTGTTCACGCGAAGTCCGTAAATGTGCGTGACACGTCACGGCCGACAGCACTCAGCAATTTTCATGCTCAAACTGTGGTCATTTTCTACTATAACGTTAAATATCTGATTGGTGCCGTTCAGTATCTTCGTATTTCAGGTTCTTCTAAATTAGCAGTTTTATTCAGAAAAGGTTGAAGAGCAGTCGTTTGTCAGTGTTCTCGTTTTCATCTTCAAAATGATGAATTTTGAAGTGAGCAGCACAAAACGTAAGTTTCTTTTGTCTTTTCCTCCATTTTGTGAAGCTGTTTTATCTGTCTCATATTTTGGTTTTTTATATATCACACAGAACTTGATGCCAGAAGAATTACTAATATTAAACTGTAGGTTTATGTATAGTGTTCAGAGATTGGTGTGGGCCTCACCGCTTTCGGTGTTTTCTTCATATTTCTTGGAATTTTGATGTTTCTCGATGCAGCGCTACTTGCAATTGGAAACGTGAGCGCTTTATTTTTATACTTACTTCATAAGTATTTTCTGTAATGAATTTTTAGTGGAATAGATTCTTAGTGTGGTTGCGTGAAGTGTGAACTTAGTTTATCCATCATAGTAGTTTGCAACTTACATACTTGTACCCATTATGATACATATGTTTCTCTTATCTGTTTCCATTTAATCAGTTTACTTGACTTTCATTTTACTGAATTTCAAGGTTAATGAGGGGATTCAAGCGTTTTCAACTTTGTGGCAGTCTCCTCTCTTTTGTTTTAGACTATCTTTTTTATTGTTCAACTTCTTCATTTCGATAATCTGATTTGTTATCTTTTATTTCTAACGTAAGTGATATTTTTCAAATTGTATATGAGTTCGAACCAACATAGTTTCTGCGCTTGTGCATTTTTCTTTAAGAATCGCATACGAAAAATCATCTCAACTGTTTGTTGTCATTTTTTGGAATCTTTCTTTTGTCAAACTGGAAAAAAAACATCAAGTTTATTAGGACATTGGGAATACC